TTTAATGCTTTATTGTGAATTATATGATAGTTTACATGGGAGGACATCAGCTTCACATTGATCCCGTCGTATATCGTTTCCTTACCATGGTTACAATCCCTTCCATGCATCATCCATCAACCAAAGGGTATACCCCACACACCTGCCACTTGGTTGTCCGCACACCGCTCCTCTCTCTCTGGGTCCAAAGTCTCCATCTGTTCCATATCCACACATCATCGTCTTTGCCTCCATCCCTGGCATCACTGCTTCTCAGGGTAGGGTTCAGTTCTCTGCTCTTATCCTTTGATGGTTCCAGGGACCTCCGCTCCTAGACTGCAAGGTTAATCACTCCCCTACCTTTGCCCCAAAACATCTACCTTTATTTCCAGCCCTTACAATCAATCCTGATAACAATTATTCGCTATTGTATCGCAAGAGACCTATCTGCATCTTTCATCAGCCCTGACTAGGCAGAATGGATACTACCCAATAGAGATTCTACCTTCCTCCATGCCTTCTGGATCTAGGTTCCCTCTTGAAAGCTTGTAATCCAGTCACTTCTTGCCTCTGTAGCCCCTCCTTTCTGGGTAGCCAGTGTCCAAGTTGCCCATCCCTGTCCTCTCCGTGTGCAGAGGACGTGTGACTGATCCTCACTGTGAAGATTTGTTCACTCTTTCTTTGAGCTACTGCTTCCATAGTTGTATGTCAAGTTCATCAAATTGTATCAGATTGTTCTTTTTCCCTCTTCTTTCTTCTTCTGGTACAGATCTGATCAGCCATTGAAGCCAGGTCAAGTGGGTATTATCTGTACATGTGGGTGTACTTATTCATTCATGTGCCCTCTCTTCTTATCAACTGGACGCTTCACTCTCCACTCAGTCCTCTGTGGCTATGTCGCTGATTCTGGGTGCAAGAGTCCCATGGGCTTGGCACATTGTTGGCCAACCAGGTCTGCATCCGGGTTCACAGGAGTCTATTGAGCGTTTTAGGGCTTGGCTGGCAGCTTTATTGCTGTTTTTCCCTCACTTCCCCTGATCGGTGACTAATGTGGTCACCAATCAGAGCCTGCATTATCATTGAGCTTTAGTCTTAGAAAGGGGTTTGCCCTGAGGGGGACCTGACCACTTGCCATGTTGTCTCCTGGGCGAACTACTTGTTTGTTCTTGTAATCAGTTGGCCTGCCTGTATTGTTTTGTATTTTTCCTGTCAGTCTTTCTTTCAGGAAGTATCTTCTGTTCTTCTGGCCACTCCAGGCTGGTCTGCTTATTTCAAGTAGAAATTTCCCCTGAGAAGATTCTGGATGCTGTTCAGGATTCCACCTATGGTCTTGTGTAATGCAGAGGCTCTGCAGGAAGCCTCCTTCACTGGGCATGTTGTAGCCCCATTTTAGGTATTCCAATCAGTTATAGGCAGAAGAGGGACTTACAGGCTTTCTACGGTGATATTTTTGGCTATTCCTTTCTCTCTCCCGCCAGTGTCTATTTCATTGCGGTATACCAGGGAAACCAATGAAAGGATATTTTTATCCATAGTAGGATATGTTAGAGAGAAAAGCAGTGGAGGTCTCAGTCTCCCTTGCTTTTAAAGTATGTGTATGCAGCAGAGCCTAGAGTTTTAGACCAATTGATACTTGTTTGGCATACACAGTAATTATTTTGATAATCTTTTGATGTGTAAAGTAGAATGTTTAAGTAAAGCTTCATATGATTAAGATCTGACTAACTTTAGTATTTGTAACTGAAAATGCATTTTTTCTTTTAAAATTCTTTTGCTGAATTTTTATATTTTAATCACAACTTTTGTTTACTTATGGTTGCCCAAGAATATTTCCTAGCTAAGTGATATTTTTTTCTCCCCATACTCAGACTATGGTGTGCAGTGGAAAACTAGTAATTTTCTTGTTCCGCTGTATTTGTTCTGCCCTCTAATGTGGTAGTCATTAGCCATATGGGATTATTTAAATTTAAATTTTTAAAATTAAGTCAAATTAGAAATTTTCTTCTTCATTTGCCCTAGCTACATTTCAGTTGCTTTACATATGACTAGGGGCTTCTGTATTGGCCAACATAAGTATAAAATGTTTTCATCATCACATCATTAAGTTCTATTTCTGATAACGCAGCTCTATATCTATGTTGTTGTTGTTAT